TCAGCTACTGAGCTGAAATCCTCCTCTTCCTAGATAACCTGTTTATTCAGCATTCATCCTGATTTGCTTGCACAAAGCTTTTGTGGAGTTTATACAGTGCTTCCTCTTCGCTAATGGTTTATTTGCACTGAGGTTAGACAACTAATAAACATTCATTCTTCTTTGTTTGAAGGGAGGTTATAGGTTTTCCTGTCATTCTGTTGTCATCCCACACTTTTCTTTGTGTTTCCCCATCTCTTTTCTAACTGCAAAAACTCTGCTGTTGTTAAAGTGGATTTGTTGGGCCAAGGCCCTTTCATCCACTATACCTACATTCCTGGCATGTGAATCCCTTCTATAAAAGAGCAACAGCTGGGAGACAGCCCTAAAATACAGATCTCAGGGTCGTGGGTTTGAGCTCCACATTGGGCAAAAGATTCCTGTATTGTAGGGAGTTGGACTAGATGATCCTCATTGTCCCTTCAAACTCTACAGGTCTATGATTCTATTATCCCTTTGCCCTGCAAAGCTTCCATTTGTTCCTTCCGCCATTCCTTACCCCCTCTTTTGTTGCTTCCTTTGCTTTCTTCCCGCTCTCGGGGAGAGATCCAAGAGAATAAAAACCGAGGCCATAAAGCAAAGCGATTTACTGGCCTTAATTTGATAGGCTACATAAACCGTGTAATATAAACAACAGGGGCATAAAGGAGCAGCCAAAAGAGGTGGTTAAAGCGACAGGCGCCTTTCAGGCCTCCATCTCCGAAGCCAGGCCTTTTCTCCCTCGCTCTCCAAAGGTCTTTTATGCAATGTAATTGGGAATCTGATGAGCAGCAGTGAGGAAGCTGCAAGGGCACTCATTCCCCCGCCTCAGCCCCCCATCCAACTCCTGAAACGCTGCTATTTCCATTTTCAGCAGAAGGGGAAGAGCACTTCAGGCCATCTAACAACTTTGGTCAAATAGCCAAGCCTCTATGTACCTCCTCCCGCCAAAAGGAACTCCACCAGATTTGGTGTGCCCAAATTCTGAGTTGATTCTGCAAGTGCTTAGAGGGTGGCGCTGTGGGTAAAAGCCTCAGCGCCTAGGGCTTGCCGATCGAAAGGTCGGCGGTTCGAATCCCCGCGGCGGGGTGCGCTCCCGTCGTTCGGTCCCAGCGCCTGCCAACCTAGCAGTTCGAAAGCACCCCCGGGTGCAAGTAGATAAATAGGGACCGCTTACCAGCGGGAAGGTAAAAGGCGTTTCCGTGTGCGGCTCTGGCTCGCCAGAGCAGCGATGTCACGCTGGCCACGTGACCCGGAAGTGTCTGCGGACAGCGCTGGCCCCCAGCCTCTTGAGTGAGATGGGCGCACAACCCTAGAGTCTGGCAAGACTGGCCCGTACGGGCAGGGGTACCTTTACCTTTACCTTTTACAAAAAAAAACCCTGCAGATGCAACACAGCTGCATGAGGATATAGATAGATAGATCTAATTAGAGGGATGAGGAAACTCTGGCCCTCCATTCTTTGGACTACAGCTCCCATCATCCCTGACACTGGTCATGCTGGCAGTGAGAGCTGTGATCAACAGCATCCGGAGGGCCACAGGCTGCCCACTCCTGGCTTATATTTTCTGATGTGAACTTCATCATCTAAGAAGAGCCCTGTTGGATCATGCCAGTGGCCCATCTAGTCCAGCATCCTGTTCTCACAATGGCCAACCAAATGCCTGTGAGAAGTCCACAAGCAGGACCTCTGAGCATAACAGCGCTTTCCCCACTTGTGATTCTCTAGCAACTGGTATTCAGAAGCTTAACTGCCTCCAATAGAGAAGGAAGAACGGAACCACCATGGCTATTAATGGCAACTGATAGCCTTGTATCCTCCAGTTATTTGTCTGAACAAAAGTTATTTGTGAGTGTAAATTCTATGAACTACTAGGTGAATAAGTACTTTAGAAGTCCCCCACTTGAAAGCAAAGTGGCAGGAGGCAACACATGAATCCTTTGGTGTAGTTAGCAAACTACACTTCACAAGATTATTTGGGGGAAGTCGTGACTGTAAAAAATGGTACAATACTTTTCAAAATGTATGGTGTTAATTGGGCCTTAATGTATGCAAGATTGAGGCTTCCCAGAGGTTGTGATTGTTGCATGTCAGCTTTCCCACTCTATATGGTCGTCTTAAGAGGGATTTATAATGCCACTGCAAGCCGCTTCTCCAGTCTGACAGATGCTACCAAAAGGGTTTAGCACTGGGAGCAGCGCCTATAGATTGGGTGGAAGGGCTGCTCCCTTTCTTTCAATCTGGTGGTAGAAATACAGAGGCCTGGCCTATATGTATCAAACCACCAGGATATAAATCTGGCTATTTCTGTGCTATTTACACTAAGATGTCCACAAAGAGACCATGGATCCAAGTTGCCTTTGTCCCTTGTTTTCTTTTTCTTTTGTGGGGGAGTGGGGAGGGTTGAAGGAAAGAGAGGATACTTTTTAAAAAAAGAAAAAATGCATTCATCTGCTACATTTTTTTAAAATACCAAATTGCTTCCCCTTGTCAGGGTGTTTGTCTGGTGTGTGTGTTTTGCATATAAACAAATTACTGTGATTGTTAATAACCCCCTTTTCCTTTCTACCAAAACCCAGTCCTACTCCCATCCCACTTAACTCACAACCCCAAGAAAAAGTTAAATGGGAAAAAGGCGAGAAAGTGGATACAGTAGACTTAAAGGACTGGCAGTGTTGATACAGAGAGAATCAGACTGCCAGTCTCTGAAAAAGCCCAAGCAGACCTGCCAAATTACTTGAAACTTCTCGATATTTTATTAAGGGTTGTATTCGACAAAGACTGGACCCACTGAAATTAGCGGACCTGTTAGGCTGCATTCATTAATGGCAATGAGTCCACTCTGTGTAGTACTAACACTGGATACAACTTTTAGTCTATACCACCACCACCACCCTCCCTTTGCTGTTTGATCCAACATGTGTGTGATTGATTGCTCAGCCTCAAGACCAATAGGCAACTTCCAGCATTGTACCATGTGCTTGGCTGCTAGTGTGGCTCTCAGCAACTAACATCTCCGAGCAAATGACATGCCCAGCACTCTGACAGGTCTATCCCAATCACACATACAAAAAAATCTATGTACAAGGTGTGTCGAGGACCATAGAGAACTTAAACTAAGCTTTGTCTCCAAAAGGGGAGAGACCATGCACTGTAAAGATGACAGACCAAGATAGTTTCACCCTTTTGTCAGAGGTGGCAAAGAAACAGCATGGGCAATGCCATCACCCCTGTTCTATTACATGCTCTCTCTCTTTCGGGGTGGAGGGGATTAGCAGGGAAGGAGGCATATTGAAGTTTATGGCAAAGTGGCAGATTTCCACATGCAGGAAATCTGTTCCAAATGCAGGATTCCTTAGTCAGTAACTCATTCTCCATTATCCAGATAGTCTTGAACAGGACACAGCAAGCCAGTAGAGCTGAGGAACCTGAATAAAGCTTGTAGGCCAACCCAGGACTGTGGCTAAATTCAGAGCAGGGATCTGGGTAAGACTCATTGTGCATTTGAGAACTGTAGTTGTTCCAGCAAAATGAACACACAGGCCAAGCTGAGATTCTTGCAGCCTTCTCTGATAATCTTTTCCTCCTGCTTTGTAGTCAGTCAAGATCAGGGTGGAAAACCATTGACTTTCCCAGATACTGCGGCATTATAACTCCCATCAGCCCTAGTAAGCATAGCCAACAGCAGGAGATGATGGGAGCTATAGTTCCGCCACACCTGGTCTAGATGATCTCCCCTGGTACCCTTCTGATCCTGGGACTTTAAAACAAATGCCCAGGTCACCACCAACACTGAAATCCTTTCATGGGGAAAGGCATGACTCTGATTAAAATCCAATTAAAAATCCAATCAATGGTTTCACACCAATTAAAGTTGTTGTTTTAAAAGGCATTCAAAGCCTTTCAGGTACTTAGCTATCAGACTTTGGCATTTCCTAACAAGGTTAACACACAACTTCCCCATTGTGTCTATTGACTCACACAAGTTGTTAGCATGTGCCAGTTATTTACACCTTTAGTGGGGCCTTTCTTCCAAGCTTATTTATCCTGCTAGATGTTGGCACCAGATTCCAGGCCCTAATGGAGACAATTTAGGCATGCAAACAGTAACTCTTCCTGGACTTTTTATCACTTCAGATCATGGCTTGGGGAAAACTTTATGAATGAGTTCTCCTCCTGCCGGAAATGAAACCTTCCAATGCCCATAGAAATCAAGTGCATCAAGGAGAAGGGTTTCAGCCTTGCCATCTCCAACCAGTGCTGGCTTTTTTCAAGCAGGGAACATTTGATGCTGGGGTCAGGGGGACACACCTGCAGTCAGAAGTGGCATAGTCTGGGGCAGGCAATACCGCATATTGTCTGTGCAGTAAACTCAGTCCAGTCTAATCAAAGTCATGTGGGTGCTGTTTGTGGTTTATGCTGCGTTGAGGGGGAAAGGCGCTCTGCAAATGATTATCATCACTTAATAAAACATTGGTTCTTAAGGGACTCAAGGTGGTGCCTTCCAGACATTTTGGACTACAACTCTCATCAGCCACAGACAGCATGGCCAGTCAGGAAATATGGGAATTGTACTCCAGAACATCAGGAGGGCACTACGTTGGCTACCTTTGCCCCTACTCTAGTATTACAAGAACCCTGTGGAGGCAGGCTGAGCTAAGACAGAGTGAATTGGTCCAAGATCGCTTGCTGAGTGGGGATTAGAACTTTGCAACATCCCACATCTGCTATATCATGCTGGCTTTCCATATATAAATGAGTTTGCACTTTATATACCCTAGGGTTGAAACCCTGGATTTGAAGACATATTCTGGAGCTAAGCCCTGGTTTTGAATTAAACGTTAACTTGGTAGTCAGGGAGAGAGGGAGGGAGGGAAACTAATTGCATGGCAGGGGTGCTAGGCTCCCCCTGCATCTTTTCACCTTGAGACCAAAACAAAAAAACAAGACTATAAATAAAATAAAAACATTCCATCTGCAGGTTCCAAAAGCCTAACTGCAGGACAGCCTAGCACCACCCACCCCTGCGAACCATGGCGACCACCTCACCCACAGCCGCTGTGGTGACAGCCACCGTGGTGACAACAGCAGCTGCCATGGACTTGCGTGACTGGCTGTTCCTCTGCTACGGCCTGGTTGCCTTCCTGAGCGAAGTGATTGACAGCACCACCTGCCCATCTGTTTGCCGCTGCGACAACGGCTTCATTTATTGCAATGACCGGGGCCTGACCTCCATCCCAGCTGACATCCCGGATGATGCCACCACCCTATACCTGCAGAACAATCAGATCAACAATGCCGGCATCCCCTCCACCTTGAAGAAAAAGCTAAATGTTCAGGTTGTACAACCGGGGGACTTTATTTTTGGAAAGAGGGTGGCTGATCTTCATTAATGAGCTGAGGCTGAATGTGGCTTGACCCAACTTTTTCTCCCCTTCAGAATTCTTAAATAGTAGCTGTAGAAATCTTTGGTTTATGAAACTTACGTTGATGGACACTTTCCCCCTCCCCAAGGATTAACCTGATAATGTTTTGCTCAGACTTTGGTGTCTTGAACTACAGTCTTGTGGACACTCTAATACAGGCTTTCCCAACATGTTGCTCTCTGGATGTGGCTGGACCAAACTTGCATCAGCTGCAGCCAGCATGGCCAGTGGCCAGGGTTGATGGGAGTCCAAAAATAAGTAGAGGACACCTGGTTGGGGAAGGCTGTCTTAGTGTGACTTGCCATCATGGTGACTTGCCATTGCATCCCAATTCTTTCAAATTACCGATTTGCAGAAGTTTTCAGGACGTGCTGTTTCAGAACTTAAAACAAGCACTGGAATATCACAAGACCAACATGCCAAAATTGCCAGGTAAATGCGACAGTATCAGAAGCTGCCTTATCTGAGATTAGACCTCACTCACTATTGCCTGCTCTGACTGGCAGCAGCTCTCCAGGGTCTGAGAAGGAAGAGTCATTTGCATCAACTGTTACCTGAGCTTTTGAATAGGAGATGCCAGGGATTGAAACTGAGATCCCCCAGCACACACTGGGCTATGACCCCTCATCAGCTCACACTGAATTAATGTTTGTGCTTGTTTTGCCATAAATTTACAATGCATGGGATGGGGGCTGTAGCTCAGTGGTAGAGCATCTGCTTTGCATGCAGAAGGTCCCATGTTCAATCCACAGTGGAATCTCCAGTAGGGCTAGGAGAGACTCCTGTCTCCAACCCTCATCAGCTGCTGCCAGTCAATATAGACAATATTGCACTTGGTGGGTCAATGATCTGACCTCATAAAAGGCAGCTTCCTATGTTCCTAAAGGTGAAGCCCAGCCCATGAAATATTAATAGCAGACTTATAGACGCCTGCTGAAAATGTTTGTGTTTTGACTGGCCTATCCCGAAGTGATTTGATTGCATCTGTTTTTAAATTTTATTGTTTTTAATTATTTTTAAATGTTGTATTTAAATTTTTTTGGCTCTGGTTCAATGTTTTTCATCTTCAGTTAAAAGGATATCAAGGAGCAGAGGCCAAGAAATACCTCTAATTTGTCCAAGGCCTTAAAGTGCCACTACTAATGGGAATACACCAGAATTGGGAGTTGTTGGACTCCCATCAGCCCCAACCAAAATGGTTAGGGTTGATGGCAGTTGTATTCCAGAAATATCAGGAAGGTCACAGGTTCCCCGCTCCTAAATTATGTAATGTTGGGCTAGATGCACCAGTGCGGTCCGACCCCATGAAAGGCAGGTTCCCACAGTGCCCAATTGGTCCAGGTCCTTAGACTTTGGAGAAAATGTTTGGGGCTAGAGATTAAACCTTTTCTTTTTTTATTTTGAGTAGATACACCCAAATCCATGTTGGAATTCAAAATATATTCACATTTTAGATTCCATGTGGATTTTTGGTTTTGAGAAGGGTTCTGGGGTATGTTTAGCAGCATACTTTGATTTTTAGCACAGGATTGGAATTTACACACTAGCTTTGAAGCTCAAGTTCCCTTGCCTGTTTAATGCCAAGTCCTATTTTTTTAAAATGTAATAATTTAAACACCTTTTCCTTGTGGTAAGTTCATGATTTCTAGACTGATGACAGGCATTTTAATATGGACTAACTGGAACCCAAATTGCTCAGGTTTGAGGAACTGTTAAATGCAGCTTTAAAAAAACAAAAACTTGCACACCATTTCCATTCTCTACTGCCCTGTTGAATTTCCTCTTAATTCAATTCCCATCAGGTCATCTACCTCTATGAAAATGACCTGGATGAGTTCCCCATCAATCTGCCCCGTTCGTTGCGGGAACTTCACCTCCAGGACAACAACGTCCGAACCATCGCCCGAGACTCCCTGGCGCGCATCCCTCTCCTGGAGAAGCTGCACCTGGACGACAACTCCGTCTCCACTGTCAGCATTGAAGACGATGCCTTTGCAGATAGCACACGCCTCAAGTTGCTCTTCCTCTCTCGCAACCACCTCAGCAGCATCCCCTCTGGCCTGCCCCGCACCCTGGAGGAACTGAGGCTGGACGACAACCGCATATCCACCATCCCCCTCCATGCCTTCAAGGGGCTGATCAGCTTGCGGCGCCTGGTGCTAGATGGCAACCTCTTGGCCAACCAGCGCATTGCAGACGACACCTTCAGCCGCCTCCAGAACCTCAGCGAGCTCTCGCTGGTGCGCAACTCTCTGGCAGCCCCACCTCTTAACCTGCCCAGCGCTCATCTGCAAAAGCTGTACCTCCAAGACAATGCCATCAGCCACATCCCCTACAACACCCTTTCCAAGATGAGGGAACTGGAGAAGCTGGACCTGTCCAACAACAACCTGACCACTCTGCCCAAGGGTCTCTTTGATGACCTTGACAGTCTCTCCCAGCTCCTGCTGAGGAACAACCCCTGGTACTGTGGCTGTAACCTCATGTGGTTGAGGGACTGGGTCAAGGCCCGGGCTGCTGTGGTGAATGTGAGAGGGCTGATGTGCCAAGGCCCCGATAAGGTCAGAGGCATGGCCATCAAGGACATCACCAATGAGATGGATGAGTGCTTTGACGTGGGCCCGCAGAGCAATTCGGGAGTGGTGGTGGCAGCCAAGACGACTGCCAGCAATGCCGCTGTCACAACCCCGCAGGGCTCCCTTTTCACCCTCAAGGCCAAGAGGCCTGGCATCCAACTGCCAGATTCCAATGTTGACTACCCAATGGCCACCGGCGCTGGAGCCAAAGCACTGATTCTGAACGTCAAGCCGCTAACTGCTGACAGCATCCGCATCAGCTGGAAGGCAATGCTCCCGGCAGCCTCTTTCCGCCTGAGCTGGTTGCGCCTGGGCCACAGCCCGGCCGTGGGCTCCATCACAGAGACCCTGGTACAAGGCGACAAGACAGAGTACTTGCTGACAGCCCTGGAGCCCAAGTCCACCTATATCATCTGCATGGTCACCATGGAGACGGGCAGCACCTATGTGCCTGATGAGACCCCAGTGTGTGCCAAGGCCGAGACGGCAGACATGTACAGCCCCACCACCACCCTCAACCATGAGCAAAACATGGACCCAATGGCCGGGCTGCCGTTGGCAGGGATCATTGGCGGGGCGGTGTCCTTGGTCTTCCTCTTCCTAGTCTTGGCTGCCATCTGCTGGTATGTCCACCGGACGGGAGAACTGCTGACACGGGAGCGAGGCAGTCGGAAGAAAGATGACTATGTGGAGTCGGGCACCAAGAAGGACAACTCCATCCTGGAAATCAGAGGCCCCGGGTTGCAGATGCTTCCAATCAACCCACACCGGGCAAAGGAGGAGTACGTCATCCATACCATATTCCCATCCAATGGAACCAGTCTTTACAAAAGCACCCACACCATCGGCTACGGCACAACCCGTGGGTACAGAGACGGTGGAATTCCAGACATAGACTACTCGTATACATGATGTAGAATCCCCTCCCTCCTCTCACATACATCCCTCCTGATCCCCTCAACTGCCCAGCCACTTCTCTGTTTTTACCCCCCCTCCCTATCCACACACACAAACATGTACACCAAGGTTTTGTTTTTTTGCCAAGGTGGGAAAAAAATGGCAAAACACAAAAACTATTTTCCAAGCAGAACCAGGTGGAACAAAAGGGGAGGGGAAGAAAGTTTTACAAAAAAAAGAAAAAAAGAAAAAGCAAACAAAAACAAAGCCTATTTTGTAGAAAACCAACAAAAACACACACAAAAGTTTTAAAAAAAAGTAGACATGGAGTGGGGCAAAGACATAATTTATATTTAATATACCAGATTAAAAAAAATACATAAACATACAACTCAGACCATCAAGGAACATTGGGTTGTTGTTGGGTCCCACCCCTCCCCCTGAGGGGGGCAGGGGGAAGACCTGGAAGAAGGGAAGGGGGAAAGTGAAAATGAAAAACAAAAATGCTACCTGTTTTATCTTTCTTCCTGTATAAATCCTCTATTTTGTTCAGGAGTTAGATTATAAAAAAACATCAAAATGTCTTTCCTGGCGGCTAAACTGTTGACTGCATAGGGGGGGAGGGGGCCCGTGCGAATCTGCTTCCATTTCTCCTTTTGCATTCCATAACTCTGCTTTCCTTACAGGTTCCAAATTTGTCATGCAAAGTTGAGCAACAACCACCACCACAACAAAATAAGCATTGGCAATATATATATATCTTTCTGGAGTTCTGAAACAAGACCCTAACCCCAAACCTGCCCCTGCCCTTCCACACCTGACTCAAGTTTCCCCTCAGCCCCTTTCTGCAAGACTCAGAATCCGTCAACTTTGTTCTTCTGCTCAACACAGACTGATCATAAGAGAAATCTCTGTTTGGTTACCTCCTCACCCATCTATCCTTTGGGACAATCATTCAAGAATATTCTCTTTGTAGGAATAACTGCAACACGCAGCTCTTTGTCTTTTTAGCAAAAAGAAAGAAAAAAAGAAACTGACATGGAAATGGGAGATGGGCCAGCGTCTTCCAACTCGCAAGATGTTCCTTCCAAGGTGGGGGCTCTGGAAATCCTAAATGAATCTCAGGTTCACATTTAGAGTGTGAATGGTTTTTGAGATGTTAAGGAAAGACGAGAAAAGCAGGATTTTGGTTCAAGTCCTTTTCTTTTGCATCATCTCAGAAAATGACCAGCTAGGCCTTTTTCAACAGCTCATCACTAAGATGGTTGAGGGTTTCTGTTGGTCTCCTACTGTATGCATTTATTTTTTGCCTCCTCCCTGATGGGATAAGGTTTGAGCGTCCAACTGACAATCTATAAATTTTTGCAGGTGTTGGGCACAGTGGCAGGCCCTTGAGGCCACATCCAATTGCCTGCCAGGTGTTTATGATTATTTGGCAATCCAAAGCAAGGGGCAAAAGCAGGTGGAGTACTGAGCCCCTGGCAAATGGCCACCACATGTGGTTGGTGGCCTGCCTTCACGTTGGCCAATGTGGATATCTGAACAGCCCCATGTTGGAATTTGGTTCTTCTCCTGCCCAAGAGCAGATTCAAAAGTTGCAGAGGTGTTAGTATAAGAGATTCTCCTGCTCAAATCAGGAGGCTTAAAGGAAATTCAAACCCACATCCACCCTGTTTGAACACCTAAAGTTTTGCCACTTGCTATAATTGAGCCAGTATGACAACCTGCATGTCTGCCTGACTGAGTTTTTCAGATCTTGTGAATTGCTGGCAGGAGGAGCTACAAGAAAGGGGCTGTGAAATGAGCAGTAATGCACATAACCCCGAGTCTGTGTGAGGCTCCTGGATTTGATCTCCAGCATTGCCGGTGGTGCACTTTCAGAAAAAGGGCTGGGAAAGTTTGGCGCAACTTGGGGAGGTGCATCTTTGAATCTGGTTGATGGACCACTGGTCTGAATTCGTAGGAGAGCGCTTTGCTGTTCCACATGATGGTCAGGTTTGCACATGTTTGTCCCCCCAAAAGTGCAGATGTAGATTGAAGAGGCCCACAAGACTTTTAGGATGGATGGGTGTGGTGAGGAACTGGGTCTCATCCATCTAAGTCCCATCTAACAGTAGAGTGGGTCCACTCAGAGAATGACTTAGGTGGATACAACCCGTTACTTAGCTGGAAAGTGTAACGAAGCAAGGAAGGGGAGGGGAAAACAGATGGAGGCTAAGTCCATCAAGAACTATTAAGCATGATAGTTGTGTGGAACCTCCATTTGTAAAGGTAGCATATCTTATGAGCGCCAGAGGCTAAGCACAAAATGTGCTTCTCAAAAGCATTGGGCTGGCTACCATTTGAATGAGGATGCTGAGTGAGATGAACCTTAGCTTTGGTTCAACAAAGATTTTTGGAAATAGGACCCCATTGAAGAAGTTCCCCCTTATGGGAGCCCTTTTAATTTACATCTTGCTATTAATATTTACATCTTAATTTACATCTTGCCATTAATATTTAAGTATTTCTTCAAGTCCTGAGAGAAAATACTTTCCCCCACATATCACAGGATGGGCAATTCTGTAGCATCAGGCAAAGGGGATATAGCTATACTTCCCTCCTCAATAAATTCACTCCAGGAAAGAAAGTCCCCAACATAAGCCCTAGGCCAGGGTTGGAACAACTTCATACCAAATGTCGCCCAGCAGTTACATAAAGTGACCTGCCAAGGTCTTGAACCCAACACGACCTTCACACCAATTTTTATAGTCCAAAGTAGGCAGCAAAAACGATAATTTAAAAGTTCCTTGTGGGCCACCATACCACCATATACAGCCAGGAGACTGTGTTTCAAGTAATTGCATTGTGTTACTTTAGCACCCACAGTACAGTACCTTTCGAAGGCAAGAGAATGGGGCGGGGGGGGACATAACCAGTTGGATCCACCTCTGGTGGTCCCCTTGGGCCCGCCCCCCCCCCGATCCAGCAGTGACCAGTTGCCAGTTTGACTTGCTGGGTTGCAAGTTGTGCAGGCCTGACCTCTAGTTAGGTTTGGGTAGAATTTAAAGTATTCCCCCACTCCAAGATCCTGATCTTGACAAGCAAAACAAACTCATGGAGGAAAGTAATTAGAAGTCACTTTAGGTGTCATTCGACATGCAGCTTCTCTCTTTTTGCACGCCTTCTGCTGTGTACAAGAATGTGCAGTGTTTCAACCCCTTAATTTCTGCAAATGGCAATAAATGGGATTAGCTGGCTAACTGGAGAGCAAGGCAATAAACACGCCATTAGAGGCATCTTTCAGTGGGATTCCTTCTCCTGGCCAGCGGGGCTCTCTGACAGCCCGGCATTCCTTAATAGCAACAATAACTGTTCAGGGGAGGAAAAAATGCATTTCAAGGGGCTTGTGACAAAACAAAGTGACTGAGGAAGCAGGGTGGGCAATGAACACTCAGAAAAGGGAAAACATTAAAAGCCTGGCCAATTATCAGCAGAATGGCATTTGTGTCCATCAACTCCCGCAATGAGCAACGCATCCCTCTCTGGGTTGCAGTTCCCCTCTAGATTTACCAATTTATCCCACAGTGCCTTTGGCTTAACTGACTTTTGCACCGTCTTCTAACACAGTCCTTATTGGCACTTCCTGTATCAGACTGAAATTGTTTTCTGCTCTAAAATTGCCAGTTCTATGCACAGAAAACCAGGGATAGAGGTGTGCTCCTATCATAATGGCCTATAGCAGGCTTACATTTAATACCAGATGTTCCAGCCGTGCAAGATTCTAGTCCCCATCTATTGCTATGTATAGCAATATACATGTCACAGGTTAGGAAACAGAGTGAGATACGACACTTTCCTAATACGTCCAAGGAAGCCTGTGGGTTTTTTTCAGTTTCGTAAAGCTCTAGTGCTTATCTGTGTTGGGAGCTCAAATTTAGAAGAATCCAGACTTCTTCTTTTTTTACACTGCAGATCTATGTATGATGTACATGGTAAAAATTCAAGGCAAATACTGCTTCTCTAGGGGTATTTCCAGACGTGTTTATTGTGAGGTTGGTGCTCCTCACAGATGCAGAGGTTTTTTCCCCCTTGCAGCATCTGTACAGTGTAATTTGCCTCAAAATCCCAGCTCATTTTACCCCACCCCCACCCCCCATTTAATCTGGATTTACTCTTTCCAGGGAAAATATTAAGTGGGTTTTTTTTATTTAAAAAACTTGCAAATGATCCGTTTGCAAATTAAGACCACATCTGGAAGCAACCTAGGTTGCAGTCTAGCAACCCCAGATAGTGTCTTGTTTAATCTTAAACTGTGTAAGCTGCCTTGAAAATATTTTAAATAGGGTGGATACCTTAACTGGGAGAAAGAACTAGATGAGGTGTCGTGGAAACACAGGCAAGGGATTTCACCATGCCAAGCTAAGCATGTACTAAAAAAACCTCCCACGGTCCTTCTTGGGTGTAAAATTAGAGCGTGCCTTCCATCAGTCTCTTTAAAGCAAATAAACCAACTGCAACAGAGCACTGTCTTCTTAGCTTTCTGGTTGAAATGGAAAGCTGGTGTGCCCAAAGGTGGTTTTAGTGTAGTGCAACTGGTGTGGTCACGCTGGGCACTGCGCTGCAGGAACAATGCTGTAGAATGGAGTGGGAGAGGCTGAATTTTAGCATCACACAGGGCACTGCTGAAATTTGGCAGCCCCAAGTCTGCCACTGGTATGCTTGCCCACGAGTAAGCCTAGTTAACAAGGGGACACCTTGTCATGTATTTCCAAGCAACAGAGTGGTACCCCGCCCCCCAGGTAACCTCACTATTCCTGTGCAGAGCTTTGCACAAGGCAGTTGTGCCAAGATCAGCACAGACGCAAAGAGGAACTGTCCTAGATTGAAGAAGGGGAAATGAAGCAAAATAAAATAAGGGAGAGAGAGAAAAGGAATGCAACAAGAAACAAGGACGACACCATTAATCTCTTGGAAAACAGCAAAATGTCAGGCAACTCAGGCAGGATCTAATGGAGAGCACAGGCGGGCAGTAATAAAGCCTAGGTGGGAGAAGTCACATTTCTGGAACAGACCAAGTGCCCCAAGAGTGGGGAATCTGTGCTCTTCCCCCTGTAAGGAAAAAAAATGCTGTTAAGACTCCAAATCCTATGAGCCCCACCCAGAATGACCTAGTGGTCAGGGATGGTGGGAATCCAGCAGCATCTGGAGGGCCATGGTTTCACTATCTGTAGTCCAAAGAGACAGGTGCTCACAACTCCAATTCTGTAATCACAGATACTCTGCATAAAATGCATGCACACCTCTCTCTAGCTATATATCCCAATCCTTGGTTCTCAGTATGCAAATTTATGCAGCTCATTAGCAGCACACTGAAATAACCAGTGGGGGGGAACAAGCCGTCCACGGAAGTCATTTTGGAAAGAAGCAGTGGGTGGGTGGGTAGCTTGTTTCTTTCCTATTAAACACCATCAACAAGGAAAACGCAAACAACAAAAATTACAAAAGAGTGCTCCAGGCCAGCTAATGTTTATATGCTAAACATCACTTTACACAATCCGGGCCTTGGACCCAACGCGTCAGTCTCGCCTCCCGTGAAGTGTAATTTTATTAAGTGTTTAACTCTATATACAGTACTTAACAAACAGAGCTAATGTGAGCAGGCTCTTGGGGAGGATGCATTTAGCACAATGCAAAAAAACAACAAACCCACCACCTTAAAAACCTGCCTCTCCCTGCTGCTCATTAATTCAGGTGATTCGAGGGTTGTTTGGTGTGCGCCATTGCTGGCACGCATGCAGAGTTTACAGTAACAAGCAATTTGCAGCTCAGCTTGCAAAGTTTTCATTTAGGAGAGCGAGCTTTTTAAAAAAGAAAGAAAAAAGAGAGTGAGCAAGAGAGGGCAGGGGTGGGAAACAGGAAAAGGAAGCAGCACTCAAGTTTGGCTTCCCAACCCAACCTACCCACTCCCCGGAATGTGGCAACAGATAGGTCTTAAGGACATGAGGATGGGAGGTCTCAGATTTTCAAAGAGGGTTCCTCAGGGATGTTGCGGCTGGAACTTGAACTTGATTCAGTTTGCATCTAAAGGCAAACCTACCTAATTAGCACTTTTCTGAAACAATATGTGAACTGAAAAATAGGCATACTTCAGAATGTGCACTTCTCCAAAAAATTTGCAATGCAGTTCTCCAGCCAAGTAATGTGTACAAAAAGGCCCACTGTGTGCCTAAAGATGTACAGTATATATTAGTGAAAACATGCTAAAATGCATTATGTTAGGGGGAATCGCTTTGTAAAACCCTGAATATTAGGGGAAATTGCACACCCAAATGATGATATTAAGAGAAATGTTGATGAATTTTCATTAGGGCTATTTTTTTTAAAAAAAGAAAGAATCACAAACATGATGTGGGAATTAGGAGAACTGAAGTTAAGATTGGAAACGAGAAAATAATAGAAAGCACTACTGGCTGATCCACTAATACCTACTGTATATTAGATTCCAGCCCATTTGCTTTTTGTTGGGCAGGGCAGATATCTGGGAAATGGAGACTGAAAAAATAATCTGAAAGCGAATGCAAGCACATTGATCCACCAGCACTGTTTTTTTGCCACCAGTGTGGGATGCATTCCGATGCATGTTCCCATCTGCAACAAATTAGCATGCATGCCCCCCCATCACAATAATAAGCATTCATTTGGATATCTGCTTTGTCACTGAAAGAAAACTAAGAACCCTGCATGCACATAAGCTGCTCAGAAAAGCAAAGCGATACCAGAAACAAATCAGAAACCTTCCATAGAGCATGGGGAAGAAAAGGGGGAAACTCTGGGCTGTATCCAACTAAACTTTACTTAGAGTAGGCCCAATGAGATTAATGAACCTACGTTAGCCATGTTCAGTGACTTCAGGGGGTCTACTGTGACTCAGACTACAACTGGATAAAACTGTCTTTGGAAATAAGAGAGGTTTTGCTGTCCCTTAAGTAAAACCAAGGCATTCTGTCTGCAGAGGGAAAATAGTTAAAGCTGACAGCAGCACACAAAAGAGGCTGAGAAAGCCAGTCTGGTCAAGGGAGCCCATGGCACAACTTCCAATCCATCGTCCCTGCAAGGCAGCATTACCCATCAAGCAGACTCAGCTATTTGTTCTGTCCATCCCATCCAACTTGACAGCTGCCTTGGGCTCTCCACTTCCTCAGTGGAAGAACACTTAACTATTCTGCAAGTGAGGTGTGTGCGCTTACATACATATATACACACACAGAAGTTTTGTCCTGAAAACCCTTGCTCTTAATTCCACTTCCCTCTTTATTCTACTGATCTCCTACCCCAGATAGAAATAGACAAATCTGTCACTTTCAGTTCTCCAAGTTTCTTACTTTTCCAATTTTAAATTCAGCCCACACTTCCATCAAAATTTCTGGATTTATTTTTTTAAGTCCTCGTGAGAATTCATCAAGCATTATATTGTGAATTTTTCCTAATTTTTCCTATTTTTGTGTGAAGTTTTGACTTACACATTTTTGCAAAGAAATGTTCCTTAATATAAAGCATTTTGTATGTTATTTTCACTAATGTATGAATTTTTATGTACATTTTACCCCTGTATATGCATTTTTGTACTTGGCTGGAGAACTGCATCATCAAATTTAGAGAAGTGTGGATTTCAAAGGATGGCTGTGGTTGGTTTGCACTGTTTTTCAAAAAGTGTGAATTCAACATGGTTTATTTTTAAATACTAACCGAATCATGTATTCTTCCACATTCCTAATCCAGACATGTTTTGGAAATCACTGAATCTGAAGGAAGCTATGTTCTTTTTGGCCTCCATTTTTCCTTTCCTCCAAAAGCAATTTTGCTCTTCATTTACTGGCCACTTCTAGTCTAACCTTCAGTATTTCAGGCCTATATCTTTAGTCCCTCCAAAGTCTTTGTAAACAGAAAGAGGAAAGATTCCTGATATGACAGGGATGCACAAAGGACTAAACACTCGCCTCCCTCCCTTTGTAAAAGGGTATGTAGGAAGTGTTGCCAAGTAACAGATTTTGCATGAGATCCACCATATGATATCCTACAGGCATGCAATCACAACAATTTTAAGAATCCCACCTAACCTAAGAAGTAGAGCAAAGGGGCTCCCTAAACTTTGACCTGGTATAAAGAATTGCCACTTCTAGTCCATCCTGTGACTTTTTATAATCCTTTGTAACACAAGATTTCTACTTTGCAGGAGTCTGTATATTTGAAGTGAACATCCTCCATCCTGAGTGCTTTGAACAGGCAGACATGTCTCAAGATTAATCCAGTTAATATTGGCAAACATGAGACAGGTACCAACCTGCCACCCCTATGATAATCCTTGCAATTGCATGCATCTGTCACAAAGTTGGCATGTCAAACACACTGCTAACAAGAGGTAGCACCAGTGGAAGCTTCTCCATTAGGACAAAAGTGGCAGTGCCCCACTAACCTCAGTCTGCACTCCTATCTACATGTCTGCGTATTTACTTACAACCAGCCCAGGGGGCAGCCCTCGCCTGCCATATTCCTCCTCCTCAGCCTCAGTATTGCCCTTGCAGAAGTCAGCAGGGAAGAGAATGGGGACAAAACTAGACTTAGTGGGTTCTGCCTGTCATTGGCTCTGGCTCCCCCTACTGTTGGGCTCCCCGCCTCATGCCCTATCAGTTCTGATGGGTACCAGCCACCATTCTACTTTGGTGTGTAGGCTGAAAACAGAAGGAATTCATGTGCAACCTATTTGATACATCAAGTCAGATCACTGCTCCATCTATCCCAGTATCGCCTAGAGACAAAAATGTTACCGTTTCTTTAAAGGTAAAAGTGGGAAACTGATCATAATACTGGAATAGTTTCAAATGGCAACATGGCAGAAGGTGGGGAGTTGATGCAATGCATTGTGGGGTTTTGTTTTTCCTGGGTCAAAGAGGCCTCACACTTTTGTTTCCCTGGCTTGTTATTTGCTTTACATTCAGGATTAATGTACAAGTTCATTATATGCTACCCACAAATGTTTTGGGGTCACCCTCAAGAGGCAGATGGTACTGGGGTACACTGAGAGCCGACAGTGTTAAACATTTGCCTGCTCTTGCCATTTTGTCAGGTTGGGAAAATTATAGCAGAGTGAATATTCAGGCACTGGGTGTGTTCTCTAGCTTCCCTGGGAAAGGAAGTAGGCCTGGTTCAACATTTCCCAAGGTGCACACACAGCTCAGCCCTGATCATTCCAATCTGCAACATCTATGACATCCTCGGACATCTTCTATACATGTCCGATGGGTGCTAAAATCAGTTCCCTGAGGGGAGGAGGCAATGAGGAAGAGGTCAGGACCTCAGTGGACAGGAAGGAACCCAACCAACAGGGATCTGGAAGCTGGATTGGCTTGAAGGAACTCAACACCTGTGTTGATTTTAGAGAGATAGATAGAAGCCCAATGCTGGGGTCCTGGTGGCTAAGGCAGGATGGAAGTGGAAAGCAAGTGTTTACGCGCAATGATCCT